GATGCTGCGTATCACAGTGCACTGAGATTTGTGACAAACTGTAAAGCATTAACCCATCACTGTACCCTGTATGCAAGGGGCTGGTTTGCTTTCATTAACTGTACGGAGGCTCAGTCACTGGTACATTTTCATATACAAAGCCATGTTAGGGGAACTTCCATCCTACATCTGCTCCCCGATCTCACGGTGAATTGTAAGTGGCTACTGCCTGAGATCGCATGCTGTAGTTTTATTAAATGTGCCAACTGCTAGGACTGTCTTAGGGCAGATAACATTTAGATGTGCAGCTCCACTGTCTTGGAATAGTCTGCAATTGAAATGGAAACTGAGCAATCTGGTGCCACTAAATGTTTTTAAAGCTCGGTTGGATGCTACACAATCGGAAGCTGTTGGTACCTGCTCATGTGGATAGTTATGTACATTGTAAACCCTGTAATGACGCTGTAAGATGTCCTTTTTGTTGTACTGTTATGTTTTTATGTTTCATGTGGAACCTACTTGAGCAGGTCTCCCTTGAAAAAGAGATCAATGATCTCAATGGGATACACCTGGATAAATAAATGTTTGAAATGAAATGAAAAAATCAACAAAGAATTTTTTTTTACAATCACTCGAAACAATCGAGTGGTAGAGGAATGAGTCATAAAAAGTACACATTTTCCCTCTTGCAGGCTCCCAGGTCTGGAAAGATTTTGAATGTCTTTGTAGTTAGATTACTGAGTTAAATTCTGCGGTTAATAAAGAGATGTAGGCTACTAGTTGTGTTGTACGAAATAGAGTAAATACCACTGGGAATCTGGGAAGACCAAAAAAGAGCAGCNTTTTATATATTTTTATATATCTGAGACCTATGCTATTGCCTAAAAATAGCACGATAAGTGACCTTTAAGGGGTTTTAATAGGAACATGTGTGAAACTGTGCTGGACAAATGGAAAAAGGCCCTTTCTAACAGATAAAATAGACCAAAGGTATTGTGAAAAACAAAAACATAAAGTGATGATTTTTGGATTATACGAATTTCATCATCATTTTCTACTTTCGCAGTTTTGAGACATTCTTTTAAGTATCTATTTTTATTGCAATTTATACGTTTTCATATATTGTTGTAAAAATAAATGGTTTAACCTTCATTTACCTAAACTTACAAAGTTGGACAGGAACTTTTTCTTTGGTAAATGCAGTCTGATTGTCTCTTGGATGGAAAAAAAATGAATATCCATTGAATCGATTCAGGAGGTGGAATATCACATTTTCGGTCCAGGCTATTAATAAATATGTAGAATTGAATGTTCTGTCAATTTTCTATGTATTTTAAATAGTTTGACCTCAGCACATCTTGGACCTCCATCATTCTGTTATTGATAATTTCCCATCTACATATCACACGTTTAATGCCTTTCATCATCATTCTTTCATCATATTTTTGTCCACAGGTAACTGGATCTTAGAGCGTTCAATAGATGGCGTCACCTTTGACCCCTGGCAGTACTACGCCATGACAGACACAGAGTGCCTGACGAGGTTCAACATCAACCCGCGGACCGGAAATCCATCCTACACCCGAGATGATGAAGTTATCTGCACGTCTTTTTATTCAAAGATCCAACCACTGGAGAACGGAGAGGTAACACTTATAGCTTCAGAAGTTGTTACACTGCCGCAGTAATCTGTAGTTGAGTTTTGTTTGGATTCAGGTTGATTTAAATGGTGCCAATGGGTTAAGTTGACCCAGGATGGGAAGCAGTGGGTCAAGTTTAATGAGGTTGGGGAGATTTTAACTAGGCGTGTAGAGTACAATAAGTTACATTGTGCATGGTCTGCTTGAACTATATTAAGTTAGACTGTGTCTTGCTTTTTAAGAATGATTTAGGTTGGTTTAGATCTCAAACTGGCGAGGTTAAAATGGCTTAAAGGTCCCATGTCATGCTTTTCCGGTTATTACCCGTCCCCTTGTGTGTTATGAAGGTTTTTATGCATGTAAACGGTCTGCAGAGTCAAAACCCTCAAAGTGCACCCTGTAGCGAGTAAAACTCTAACACAGAGAATACCTCCTCAAAACGCCTCGTTGGAGATTCGTCATTGCCCATTTGATTCTTCCGGGTATGCATGATGTCAACCGTACCCGGAACCAAATGGACCAATCCGTCCGCGGAGCCGTTACGTTAAGCCCCCGCTGATTGGTCCAAATTGACCAATCCACGGACTTCCTCACACACACACTCAGTGCAGGCAGTTCTGCTGATCTCTCCTCCCTGGCTGCAGGCTGATAACAGACAGTTGGGATCGCGGCGAAATTCTCTCTGCAGACCCATTCTCACAGCGTTTATCAAACTTTCTCTTACTCAATATCAAGACACACTTATTGTTTTTACTTCGGCTGTGACTTTGTGTGTGCTCAGGGTGAGTCTGGCTGTGTTTGGCTGTGTATCGCTAAACAAGGAAACCACACCTCCACGGAGCTCAGCGCGATTCACAACGTCCCGACCAATCAGAGCACACTGTGCTCACAGGGAGGGTGGGGGCTGGAGCTACTGGAGCTACAACGAGCCGTTAAAGGCAGAGAGTGAAATTCAGTGAATACACGTAGTTCACAGAGATGCTGTTTGAGAAACCAAAGTGATTTTGGAAAATTGCACAATATAAATATATTCTAGTAGACCTCAACAATGGAGTTATGATCAGTGGAAATGGCCATGAACATGGGACCTTTAAGGATCAACTATAACCCTTTGTCAACCTGCTTTTTAGCGTAGTAATTTGTACCCTTTGACATATCTGTGTGCCGCTTATTATGGGTTCAAATACTCATAAGGGAATATATAGCGTCCGTCTCATACTCTCCTGTCAACGCAAGCCACATCAGATTGGAACATGGCATTTACATTATTCAACCAGTGTTAGATAACTTTGCACAGCAAGCGCTTTTATTCCCATTGATCAAAGGCATGTAGTTATCAAAGCTTGTCATCCATATAAGCGCCACAAGGACACCATGTTGTTACAGACCAGTATGGAGCGCAGTAATGACTCTGTATTGTATTGACTGAGACTTGGGTGACAGCCACGCTGAGGGGAAAATGGATCGGTCCCCAGCTGTCAATCAAGAAGAGAATTTCATTATTTCCTCTTTTTCTCTCCCTCCCAGTCTTTTTGTTGCTCAGCCATATACCGCCCTCCTGCCAGTCGTCTCCGTCCTCGCTCTTTCTTTCCCATCATCTCTATCCAGTCTTCTTTTTTTCCCCGCTCACACAATCACAGCTCTGCAAACCGCCCCCACACTAGCAGCTTCACACACACTCTTGCCTTAGCCTTTAGTGCAATTGAATGACTTTTTTGTCACTATTGTCTAGCAGGAACAATTTCACCAAAGTAATTTATAAAATAACAGCTTCCAAAACACAACTGAATACTGCATTCATCTTAATACCGGACAATATCTTGGTATGAAAACATGAGCTACCCATTGCACGACAATGTACAACCCTTTTTATATATATAACCAGGTTTTGATAATGTAAATAAAGTGTAGTCTTTGCAATTATGATGGCTTCCAGGAAGTAGTTCATCATAAGACTTGTTGTCACACCACATCAGATTTATCTCTGTGTCTAACTCCCAAATGGGCCAGCAACTAAAAGAAGGCTCTGAAGGACGTCAACAATTTGGTCAGGAGTTTGTACTGCACAAGTACAATATCAGCTAAGACAGACACTGCGTTATTTTCTGTATTTGTTTATTCTACACATGGCAGTTATTTTAAAACAAAACATGTACAGTCTTTATGTAGCCCATGGTGGAAAGGAGAAGACACTCTTAACATCTAATAACCATACACATGTAAAATCAAAAGTACCGGTAATGTTCTGTCAATCACAGTTGCTTACAGAGATCTACAGAAACATAAAACTAGAACACAATCAAATATAATCTCTATACTGTCTGATTACGCTTTCTTAATAATACATTTTCTTAAACATAAGGATGTTCATACAGCCTCTTAAATCTCACGGTACAGACTGAGGTATCTTGATCTGTTACGTTGATTGTCATTATTATCTGTGTAGACATTCTTGGTCCCTAGAGGATGAATCATAAAGCCTTGGGTGATTACCTGACCCTTTTTTTTGCTGTCAAAGTTTTACCTTATTTAGGAAATATCTGAACATCTGCCGGATGTTTTTGATACCACATTGCTGCAGACATTCATGCCACCCAGAGGATGAGCCCTTCAGACTTGAGTGATCTCCTTGATGTTTGTAGCTAACGCTACATTGAGGGTTGTGGCTTTGATTGAAATGTCACTATATTTATTGGGTGGATTGCATTTAAATCAGCTTCAAATCTGCATGTCCTCCTCAGGAAGGTGTGTGTGTGTGTGTGTGTGTGTGTGGCCGTGATGGATCGTTGGAGCTATGTGCAACTCAAGGCATATGCTCGAACGGGAGCTGCCTGGACGCTGCAATCATGTTGCGCGCACTATCCGTGCTGAGTGTGCTGACTTTTCGTACAATGTCCCTCTGTCTGGCTACCTGCAAAAAGTCAAGTGCTCGGCACAGATGTCGGCGAAATGCCTCTCCTCTGTTTTCATTGAAACAGCTCCTTATATCCGTTAGCGCAGCTAGCTAGCACCAGATGCTAACAACAACAATACACTTAAGGTGCTCGCACCACACATACACACACCCTCCTGGTCCTCCCGATGGCCAGTCGGTGCCTGCCGGTGAGCGTGGAAGTGTGGTCTGCCGCAAGCGGGCGGCAGGAGCGGGGCAGGAGCGGGACTGTCAGCATCAGCTTGTAGATGGTATTTTAAACTCGATGCGCTCTGAAACTACGGGGCGGCCGAGGACAAAAAATACACATGCGTTAATCGCGTTAACTTGACAGCCCTAATTAATATGCCACTCCCTTTTCCTGGTTAAATTACCACAGTAGCTCCCGACCTTTTTTCAATGGTAACTCGGCTTAAAATATAAGCAGATTGGTACAATGTTGTTACACATTAAGAAAGCTGTGTGTCAGACGTACCTGACACGATGTTGACGATGCGGTAAGGAATTCCTAGCGTCTGGTAGAACTCCTCTGCGGTCCCGATCATCTCATCAAACATCTCCCATGATTTGTTGTCATGTGGGGAGGAATACACAAACTGCTCGATCTACAAAGAAAAAAAGATTTATGACATTGTTTTTCACCATATACCAAAACAAAACAGTAAATCACTCAATCACTGACTCGGTTCAACACACATAACTGCCATTGAATTTGTTAACTAAATAAGTTATACCCAAAATGTGGCAAAGTCAGCAGGCTTCTGGAATAACCAATTAACATTAGTCTCATTTTCAAAATAAAAGCCCAAAAGAGTTACTGCACACTAACAGGAGGCTCATGATGAGGCTCAAAGAATAACTATCATTACAGGAATATTAGTTTTTCTTTAAAAAAAAGCCCTATTCAGTAACTGTGACCTTACTGTAAGCTCCTGACGATGCACGTTTTTCAAAACAAAAAGCCCACATAGATGAATAGTATCCTTACAGGAAGCTCCGGACAAGGCCTATTCGTTTTCAAAGTAAAAGCCCAATAGAGCAACTATTATTTTGGGAAGCTTGGGCTTAGGCTTGTTTTTCAAAATAAAAGCCCAAGAAAGTGACAACACTGCCATTGCTATACGATTCTCATTTCCAGATCATTATTTCCTGCATTACAGCTGACCTTCTCAAACTGGTGCACTCTGAAGATCCCGCGCGTGTCTCGGCCGTGGGAGCCCACTTCCTGTCTGAAGCAGGTGGAGAAGCCGGCGTAGCGGATGGGCAGGTCCTCGGGTTTCAGCCACTCGTCCCTCAGGAAGGCGGCGATGGGCTGCTCCGAGGTGGCGATCAGGTACTTCTCATCCACAGAGTTATCGTCTGACTTCTCGCTGCCCTTACCAACGACCTGGATAAAAACACAGGCGGGGTTAGGATGTACAAACAATGATATCAAACCATTTGAAAGGTTTTCACAGAGTGAATTTGAATGTTTATCTTTGCAATTTCATGAATATAAAGGACCTGTGTATTTGTTCAAATTGAATATTCCATAAATGTAAGTTAATTTTACATTAGCAAATTAAAACATAAAGTAGGTATTATTAAAGTTAACTAATTTTGTAGTTAGTTATTGTAATGAGTGATCAAGTTCAGTCAGAATATTCACACAATGTAAGATGACAAAAAAAGAGTGTACTACTACTCTCTAAAATGTGCAGTTCTTTGTTTAGGCCTCCATGGGGCACTGCCACCACTAGAACTAATACAAAAGTATGAAGACATCTGAACATCTCATCCCAAAACAATGGTTTTATTAGCCTGGTGTTTGATTTAAAAAATACTTAAATCTCAATGTATTTTTCACAATGTTGCAGGATAGTGAAGGACAGAAAGGGGGTATGACAACACCTTTTTAAGTTAAATACAATTGAACAGAAAAGGTTTAGGAAGTCTTTAAAAACCTCTGTACCTTGTAGAGCTCATCATCAAACTGGCTGAGCTGCGCCACTTCCTGCATGACCTCTTTCCTCATGAAGAAGGGCGTGTAGAGCGGGGTGTACTCCTTGCTGTGGAGGAGCCTCAAGCCGTAGTTGATGAGAGCCTGCTCCAGGAACACCAGTGGGCCCTGAGGGGAGATGACGGAGAAGAGACAAGAGGAAAAGCATGAACAGCTTCTCTCTCTGGTGATTTCATGTTCATCTGCTGCATGGGTCTGCCCTCACCTTCAGGAAGTAACCTCTGCTCCCAGCCACCACAGCCCCCCTCTCTCCGTCGAAGCCATCGATCATGACCACCAGGTCCACGTGGGAGTACTTCTTCTGCACGCTGGAGTCGCCCCAGGTACGCTCCACCTTGTTGTCTGCATCCTGTCAGCGGGGAACAAGAGGAAACTTTAAGGGGCGGGTTCACAGTCAAAGGTCCGCCTCCTCATTCTAAACCAGTGTGAGAAGGATACATTCCATTTTCCAGTGTGCAGTGGGAGCTTTGGGATTTTAGCCGTTGCAGACCATTTATATGTTCAACAACACACTACAGGGAAGGGAAACCTCAAAAAGCATTAAAAGCCTTCTATAAGTTATTAAAATGGTACCTTTTAGCAGCTATCTAGCTAGCTAGTTTAGTTGCTAATTTCTTGTTCATGCTACAGCAGTTTTCACCAATTACACATTGATGGTATGCTTCCTGTGATTGGTTTTGTGTTTCTACCAGAAATGAACCACTCCATTCTCCTGACAGTGCTTAGAAACCTCCCCCCTGTTATAAATTAGTCATTGATGGATCATGTAATCACAATTATTGGTAAATCACTTGTCAACCGATGTGACTAAACCCAGATGATGTGTTCTGCTCTATCTTTTACCGGCCTGTGTGGGGCCCCTCACCTCATCGTTGCTGATGGGCACAGTCGGGTGCAGGAGGTTTCCGATCTCCCTCAGGTAATCGAAGCGCTCCGCCTCCAGCTTTATTCTCTGGATATCAGCTTTCTCTACTGCCTCGTCCACTAACAAACGCACCTTTTTGATCTGGGTTACCGTCAGGGGCTGACATAGAGAAATGGAAATGTGCAAACAAGTTAACGAAAGAAAAAAGACATTTGTGTGTTCTCTCTTTTAAGAACTGTGCGAATCAAAGTGCAAACACTCATAGGGAATGAAGGATTAGAGAAGGCATTCATACCGATAGTGTTTCAGCTGTTAGGGACTCAACGTATTGGGCTTCTTCTGGTAGAGAGTCATCATCTCCAACTGGTTCCTTTTTCTGCATTAAGAACATAAACAACAATAGGTCAGATATACAGTTAAATACACCCTCTTAAAGAGCCTGTGACAGCCTCCCAACAACTGTTGTGCAATGAAATATTGGGCTACTAGTAATCTCGAACCGTCAGTTTAAAAAAGAAGGTGCGATACCGTTCCGATAAATACCAATAATTTCGAACATCGCGGGGAAATTCCTTCGACTCATTTTGAGGTTTTGGGGGAAGCCGGAAGTGATGTCAATGCGGGAACGCTTCACTGTGCAGCGAGAGAGCCAAACACGGACAAAGTGTGTTGTCATGCGTAGAAATGGTGAATTACTGAGTTTAGGCACGTTAATAACGTTTTAATGAAGTTGACTACAGTATATTCATATTTGTCAGTGCTTTCATGTCAATTCGGCGAACATAAACATAAATGATCGTGGTGAAGATGATGATTAAATTAGGATTAAAAATCGGTAGTGAGAGCTGCTGAATTTCCTCCCGTCGGATGTGATATAAAAACAAATCGATTACTTTTGTA